TATCTCAGGCCTCAGAGTTCTTACTGTGGATACTGTGGTTAATCTCATTTTATACAAGTAACTGATATTTCGAAGTTAATCTGTCTGCTCAAAGTTATTTGATTGCTGACCCATATTTTGTCCATACCTCATCTAAATTCCTCTAGAAGAGGGGGATAATCACTACTGTTCAGTGTTGCTGAAAGAATTGGAAATAATAAGTACCCAATGAAGAGCACAGGTAGCAGGTAGGCCTGAATGATGCCTATCCTGCCTCCTTCCCTCTTCTGGAACTGCATCCTTCCCTCTAACTGAAGGCAGAAACCAAGTTTCCTTACCTCTAAGAAGGGCATTCTCAGTGCCCTTTATAACGAGGAGCCTATATATTGAAGTATGAAGTAATTTGGCGTTTTTATCGGATCACTTTTGTTATTGAAAGAAACTGCTCTCGACAGGAGGTGGTGGCTCACGTCTTTATCCCAACGCTGGGGAGGCAGAGGCAGGTGGATCTTTGTGAGTTCGAGACCAGCCTGATCTACAAAAGCTGGTTCCAGGACAGCCTCCAAAACCACAGAGAAATCCTGTCTCAAAAAAGAAAGAAACTGCTCTCAACCCAATAAAATAATAAAAGACAAGGTTTTACCCTGAAACATATGAGTGACCATGGGCCCAGGAACACAGATTTAGATTATAGCAAATTCTGTGTTCCAACATGGAAGCAGTTTCATGAAGCTTTATAGCTTTACAGGACAAAGGCATCACAAATCAAGGCACGTTTAGAACACATAGTAGCTATATCAGAGAGGAGGTTAAAGCAGGTGTGGGACATTTTTCTATAGGCCTAAGATGCTATTTGATGACATTCTTACCTTTTGAGTCCATGGAAGCTAGTGGTCTGCTAAGTTAATAGATTTCAAGAGTGCTTTTTGTTTTTGTTTTTTTGTTTTGTTTTTGTTTTTTCGAGACAGGGTTTCTCTACATTGTTTTGGAGGCTGGCCTGGAACTCACTCTGTAGACCAGGCTGCCCTCGAACTCACAGAGATCCACCTGCCTCTGCCTCCTGAGTGCTGGGATTATAGGTATGCGCCACTACCGCCTGGCTTCAAAAGTGCTTTTGTGGGTTTCTTTTGTTTTGTTTTAGTTTTAGTTTTGGTTTGTGTAGCCCTGGCTGTCTTGGAACTCACTATGTTAACCAGGGAAGCCTCAAACTCACAGAAATTCACCTGCCTCTGCCTCCTGACTGCTGCTATTAAAGGTGTGCACCACCACTGCCTGGCTACAAAAGGTTTATTATTCTATTAGTTGAAAAATGTTAGTTCAGACATAGTGATGGATAAGGAATATATTCCTGAGGGCTAGAACAAGGCCAGAATCATGAGGCAATTAGCTATTATAATCTATTATAATAATTAATTATTATAATAATTATTAACCTTATTAACTGTAGTAAATAATTAACTATTATAATCTCCATAGTACTGCAGTTCTCTCTCTCTCTCTCTTTTTTTTTTTTTTTTTGGTTTTTTGAAACAGGGTTTCTCTGTATTGTTTAGGAGGCTGTCCTGGAACTCACTCGGTAGCCCAGGCTGGCCTCGAACTCACAGAGATCCACCTGCCTCTGCTTCCCGAGTGCTGGGATTAAAGGCGTGAGTCACCAACGCCCGGCTCGTACTGCAGTTCTAAACAACAGTCTCTGCAGACACAGCTCCTCTCCAAACATTCTCATTCACAGTTCCTCCTGTTGGGCAGCCATCACACTTTGTACACTCAGGGGATACATATCATTTATTACATAGTATAAGGTCCCTGGTAGCTAGGAAGGCTCATTCCTATGATCTGATATCAATGGGGCCTGAGTGGTGGGCAGAACAGCCATCTTCAGGAGAGAAACTATTGGTAATGATACTAAGAAACAAACTCTTCCATCATGTGAAAACACCAGCCATCATGATCCAGATTTGACTTTTTCTTTTCTTGCTCCCTCTCTATTTGATATAATATTTACATGTGACATATAACAGGACTTCTACATCTATTTTTTTATTTTTATTTTTATTTTTTATTTTTTTGGTTTTTACGAGACAGGGTTTCTCTGTATTGTTTTGGAGGCTGTTGGTCCAGCCCAGCCTTGAACTCACAGAGATCCGCCTGCCTCTGCCTCCCGAATGCTGGGATAAAAGGCGTGTGCCACCATCCCCCGGCTGACTTCTACATCTAAAATTAAAATAATCAAAAACATATTCTGGCATAATGAGGTGAAAGTAGCAGATCAAGAAGAAGCCTCCTAAAAAAAAAAAAAGAAGAAGAAGCCTCCTAAGCCAGGTGTTGGTGGTGCACGCCTTGAATCCAGCACTGGGGAGGTAGAGGCAGGCGGATCTCTGTGAGTTCAAGGCCAGCCTGGGCTACAGAGCGAGTTCCAGGACAGTCTCCAAAGATACAGAGAAATCCTGTCTCGAAAAGCCAAAAAAAAAAAAAAAAAAAAAAGCATCCTAACCAGGCAATGAAAGATTCCTCTGCAAATGACATCATACTCCCTAACTATACTAATACATTTTCCCTCCGTGTCTTCAGTCATTTATGCTTTATAGAACATTTTATTTGATGTCTGGGGCACCTGAAACAGTTCATCCTGTTTTTAAATAATTTATTTGTATTTTATGCGCATTGACATTTTGCCTGCATGCATGTCTGTGTGATGGTGTCAGATCTTGGAGTTACAGACAGTTGTGAGCTGCCTTGGGAATTAAACCCTGGTCCTCTGGAAGAGAAGTCATTGTCCTTAATGCTGAACCATCTCTCCAGCCCTCTTTAACTCTAGTTTCTCATTTGACAAGTTTGAATTCATGACAATCACCTCAGGTGGGATGACTAACTCCAAATCTAAGAAAGACTGCTTTAATATCTAAATTACTGTAACTCTTATTTTTAGATAATAAATTGATCTGGCCTATTATCTTGATGTTACACCAGATTCTAGCATAAAGAAATAAATAGACAGCTACAGTACAGAAGAAATCAGGTAACAACACAGTATCATTCTGAATTCATCCAAGCAGAATTTTCTAGTGCACCAAATATTATTTGTGCCCGGGACAGAAACAAGAGACCAGACCTGTTGGAGCTGGTCGTGATGGTACATGCCTGTAGTCCCAGCATTTGGGAGGCAGAAACAGGTGGATGTCTGTGAGTTTGAGTTTAAGGCTAGCCTGGCCTTGCAAAGAGAGTTACAAGACAGTCAGTCAAAGCTACATAGTGAGACCATCCCCCCCAAAAAAGTCAGACTTGTCTTAAGTTACAAACTCCATCTATTATTACTCATAATTGAAGTTTTTCACAGATTGTTAGCCCTAACTGCTTTGATAAGAAGTGTTGGCCAAGCCGGGTGTTGGTGGCGCATGCCTTTAATCGCAGCACTTGGGAGGCAGAGGCAGGCAGATCTCTGAGTTCAAAGCCAGCCTAGTCTACTAAGTGAGTTCCGGGACAGGCTCCAAAGCAATACAGAGAAACCTTGTCTCAAAAAACCTAGAGTCCTAACGTCAATCACCAGTACAAATAAAGAAATAAGATAAATAAAGTAGGGAAAAGGATTAGGCAGTAGGGGGGAAAAAGACAATTTGTGCCTGCTGTTAAAATCCCAGTCCTGCTGGGCAATGGTGGTGCACACCTTTAATCCCAGCAGTTACTCAGGAGCGGATCTCTGTAGTTCAGAGGCCAGCCTGGTCTACAGAGTTCAAGGACAGGTTCCAAAGCAATAGAGAGAAACCCCTCCTCCGCCCAAAAAAGAATGGCAGGGTCCACAAAATCCTACATCTTCATTCTTCCTGGATCTTACTGAATGTTTGTTGTTTGTGCAGAAACCAACAACACAGTGAATTAGAATAACAGATGTAAGTTCTCATTCAAGCTCTGCAATTGGGCATCACTGAGTTTTGCGACAAGTACAATTTTCAAGTCCCTTCCCCTGTGTTTTTTTTTTTTTTTTTTTTTTTTTGGTTTTTCTAAACAGGTTTCTTGGGTTTCTCTGTATTGTTTTGGAGACTGTCCTGGAACTCACAGACCAGGCTGGCTTCGAACTCATAGAGATCCGCCTGCCTCTGCTTCCCGAGTGCTGGGATTAAAGGCGTGCACCACCAACGCCTAGCTTCCTCTGTTTTTTTTTTTTTTCGAGATAGGGTTTCTTTGTATTGTTTTGGAAGCTGTACTGGAACTCGATTTATAGACCAGGCTGGCCTCGAACTCACAGAGATCCGCCTGCCTCTGCCTCCTGAGTGCTGGGATTAAAGGCGTGTGCCACCAACGCCCGTCTCCCCTGCATTCTTTACAACAGCATATAAATTAAAGGACGAAATAGAAAAATTAACCTCCAGATGGTGAGACGGCTCAGTGGGTCAAGGTGCAAGCGTGAACCTAGGGCTTTACACATGCCTGGCAAGCTGTCTACTGAAGATTAAGTGGTCTCTGTCCTGGAGAGGTGAGTGCAGGTGGCAGCTGAGTCCAAGTGGGTAGCTTTGACTACTTTCCAGAATCAAACAGAAATGACCGGACGATATTTGCAGTTTTGGAATCTACTTACTTTTTTGGGCCTGTGACTAATGTAAGGGGAGTTGGCTATATTTAGCCCTGTGTTTTATTTTGTTTTCTGTCCCTGAGTCAGAGGGGAATTGTTCCTTCCCTTGTACAGTTTTGCAAAGGCAAAGATCATTTCCCTTTTTGGCCAGCAGCTCTCTGATGGTACAAACTCATCTTCTCTCCCCACCTACCATACTCAACCCAGATAGGAAATCTGTAAGCCTACGTCTTTAGGCTATCTTCTTAGGGTTACGATTAGTTAGTGACAGGAGGGAGACCCAAGGGACTGAAGCATTCAGGCAATCCTAAGATAGATTTTGCAATTACTTTCTTATAACTGATTTTGCTGTAATGGCTGCCTGTATGGGACAATGCGATTGTTGTGTTGATAAAGAATTAAAGAGGGTATAGAGTAGATAGAACCAGATTTATATACAGACTTTGCCACTTACAAGCAATGTACCAACTTTTCTGGAATATGTCTTTTCATCTGTGGAAAAAAAAAGGGAATAATCATGGCATGCACATTCTAGGCTTGTTAAAATTATACAGAAATATGTACAAAAAGCCTTATCCCACAGCCTGGTGTATAAGTGCTCATTTAAGAGGGTAGGGGAGCTAACGAGAATGAGGAAATGATGTAATTATAGTATAATCTCAAAAAACAAAAAGGTTCGTGATGGACAGACAGCTCTAGTGGTGAATCAAAGGGACAACGGGAAGGGGAGCTCGGTGCAAAACTAGAAGCTATGAAGTTATAAACCTCGCTTCCAAGCAATCAAGTCTTTTGGCTCAGGGTCAGCGTTCCACACACCTCAATCCGCTGCCTGTAGGCTTCCAAAGACTCAGGTCTGCCTAAAGGCCGGAGTGGCAAAGGCAGCCTCTGAAGCAAACCCGGCTTCTAGCGGGAAAGCCCTCTTCAAGGGGTAATGGGCTCTTGGCGAACCGCAGCCACGGACTTCAGTGTCTTTCACTTACCCGGGAATGGTAACGGTCCTTAACGGCAGCCGATAACGGCTCACCTGCGGCCCGATGCCTATCAAGGGTAGGCTTAAGTGAAACCTTGGACTTTGCCACCTATCACTCTCGAAACGCTAATTCAACATGGAACTGCAATTCCCAGAATGCCCCGCGCCCACCCTACAAGGCGTGGGGACCTCTTCTCCTCAGAGCGTGGCTGAACCTAGGGGTTTCCGGAATTGCTGCCCACTCTTCCTAAGGCGTCCCTTCATGATTTCTGGGTTTTGTAGTCCATTTCAGTCCAGTTTCTTGAAAATGCGCAGCCCTTTGTGTCAGATTTCTTCACAAAAACTACCAAACCCAGAATACATTGCAAATTTCTCCTGTCCAATAGGAGCCCTCCATGTAGCGGGGCGCGGAGCCCGGCTCTCGCAACCCAAGATGGCGGATGAGAGTGAGACAGCAGTGAAGCTGCCGGCACCTTCGCTGCCGCAGATGATGGAAGGGAACGGAAACGGCCATGAGCACTGCAGCGATTGCGAGAACGAGGAGGACAACAGCTACAACCGGGGGTAACGGGATCCTCGTAGCCCAATTCCTGTCCGGTCTCCCACAAGCTGGGTCTCTGGGGTGCGGGGAAGTCACCGGGAGCTTAGTCTAACCCCACCCCCATGTTCTTATTGGCTAAGCCACTGAGATCCTGCCTAGCGATTGGTTTTTGCCTTTGTCATTTACTAGGGTGGGTGCTCAGAAATTAAGGGTCGGAGACATGCTATACTTTTATTATATAAAAAGTTCTGTATAGTGTACCATTCGTGTGCTTCAGGCACGATGGGGAAAAATAATATTTTGAACCGTGGCTCTCAATAGTACAACGCAGAGCAATTTAGAAACTGCAGTTCAGAGGAACGTTACTTATAAAGGTGAATGAACAACGTGACTAGCAATAAACTAATAATAAAGCATTTCGTTGTAGTTCACGGTCAATGAGGAAATTCACCAGGCTATACAAGCCATGTATATAATTATGTTGTAAAATATTACTGCCAGAGAGTTCCGAAATACAAACTCACCTTATAAATCCTGTTATTAGCGATGTGATAATGTTTTGACTTATTCGGTGTTTATTGCCTCAAATAACCCGTAAGTATTATTATAGTTAGTCTTCTTGTACCTTCTTAACGTAGTGAAGTAACTCGAAACCTCAACAAACTTACGTTGCTTTTTGGAGAATACGTGGTACTCAGGGATACTACTGCATATCTTGTACTTTAGGGTCTTTCCGGGATGTTTGTTTGTTTGTTTGTTTGTTTGTTTGTTTTTTGAGACAGGTTCTCGCTGTGTAGTTCTGTCTGGCCCGGGACTTGCCATGGAGAGTAGGTTGTCCTCAAACTCAGATGCTCTTGTCTCTGCCTCCCAGTATAGGGACTATTGTTACAGGCCACCATGTAGCTCCTACTATAAGTAGTTGCTGTCGTTTGTTACTGGAAAGAAGAGATGGGCAAGATATTTGAGTGTTGCTTTTCTTTTCTTTTTTTTCCAAATTAATACATCTGTAAACCAGCCCCAGTGAATAATTTATTTTGTTCACATTATTTGTCTGCTGCTAACTCCCCCACCGTCTATCTGTCTATATGCATAAGTATATTTTTCGTGTAATTGTCTGAGTGTGATTTTTAAAACCAGACTTTGTTATAGCCAACTTGTCATTAGCTGTAACTGGCAGCGTTGTTTGTTTGTTTTTCGACACAGAGTTTCTCTGTATTGTTTTGGAGGCTGGAACTCGATCTGTAGACCAGGCTGGCTTCCAACTCACAGAGATCCCCCTGCATCTGCCTCCCGAGTGCGGGGATTAAAGGCGTGGGCCACACCGCAGGGCCATGACTGGCAGCTTTAACTTCCGCCTTTCCCCCAGTGAACACTGAGGTAAAGGTGGAGGTCATAACCTTTGGATGCACTCTTACTTAGTCTGTCCTAGAGATGCTTGAGCAAAGGATCAAGTGGTTAGCAGTTTGCCTGGGGGTGAGTTTTAGATTTAAAAAAATTCTAGCTTCTTGTTCTTTACCAGAATGAAAAAAAAACCTCACAAGAATGTGGCAGAAAGGAAGCTTGCCAAATTTGATTTTTTGACTGTTCTGTTGTTGTAACTCACAACAGATCTAATGGAACAGCCGTGTTTGAGCCAGCTGTTCCCAAGAATGGGGTTGCTGAGGAAGAGGAAGTAGGAGCTGGAAGAAGGGACAGGACAGGCCTCTTGAGGGAAAAAAAAAATCCCCACCAAATGAGAGTGCTGAATGTGAAAGTCATTCTAGAAGTGAAAGTATGAGGTTTTTTTTCCTTTGTTCATTCTGTAATTGCTCCATTTTTCTCTGTGAAGCTGTTGCCCTGACCAGTGTTAATCTTTTTTTTTTTTTTAATGGGTTTTGTACTTTGAAAAACTGTGATCAGTTTGCAAAACTTTGCCAGAGCTGGGGTGTAGCTCAGCCATAGAGCGAGTGCATACCGTGTTGCAGGCCCTGGTGTTCAACCACAAGCATGAAAACCAAGAAAATCCTGTTTGCCAGGAAGTTCTTTGTTTTAGTTATAGTACCATAGAGTAATAGCTCCCCTTTCCCCAAATCTTTGGGAGTGACCCTGTCCCCCCCCAACCCCAGAGGGAAGGTGTTTAATTACCAGGTATGGTGTGAGAAAATTAGATTAAATTACAAAATCTAGGGGCCTGTGAGAATGAGTTAGTTTGGAGGGGACAGGTAAAAAACAAAGGTTCTAGTCAGTAGAGAGTCTACTTGTGACACTTAGAACCGGCATTTCCCATTAAATTTCAAGGCAAAGTATCTTGGAAAGAGACAGCATCACCCTGGGAAAGTATGAACTTTGGAGTCATTCAAACCTGTTTTGAGCAGGGTGTGGTGGTGCAATCATTTAATCCCACTGCTGGGAGCCACAGGATGTCTGTGAGGTCAAGGCTAGCCTGATCTATATAGCTAATAAGCCAGGACTATATAGTAAGTCTGTCTACAGAAACAAACTGAAGCCTGCTTTGAAAGCCTGGTTGTGATCCCAAGATCAATAGCTGTGGTCTTGGGAAAGTTTCCTTATCTCCAGTTGTTTATGAAATTAGAGAGAACAGTAAGAGTAGCCCAGCTCTCCTTTTCTTTTTTCTTTTTGTAGTGTTTTTATTTAAATTAGAAACATGAATGCTTTATATGTCAATCCCAGCTCCCTCTCCCACCCCTTAGCTCTCCTTTTCTTTCTTCAGATATTCCCCTAACTTTCCCCAGCTTGCCTTCCATTACTTTTTTACAGACTGTTCCTTTGTAGTTTTATTATAGTAGTAAATAACGTGTTTGAGAATTTACTGTGTGTGTCCAGATCTCTGCTTCAAGGGCTATCAAGGTACTTGAGGACAAGGATTATGCCTGGAGGTGACTGGCGCTTAGTAGGTGATACTGAATGTTTGGTGAATGAAGGCAAATATTAAAGTGCCTGGCCTATCTTAGTGCAGGATGTTGTATAGCTCAGGCTGCCCTTGAACTCATTTTACATTGAGAATGATCTTGAATTTCTAGTTCTCCTGCCTTGACTTCTTTAGTTCTGAGATTGTAGACACATCTTCAGTCTCAGGTTTTCTTTCTTTTCTTTTCTTTTTCTTTTTTTTTTTTTTTTTTTTTTTTTTTTTGGTTTTCGAGACAGGGTTTCTCTGTATTGTTTTGGAGGCTGTCCTGGAACTTGCTCTGTAGACCAGGCTGGCCTCGAACTCACAGAGATCCGCCTGCCTCTGCCTCCCGGGTGCTGGGATTAAAGGCGTGCGCCACCAATGCCCAGCTCAGTCTTAGGTTTTCTGCATGCATGCATGCATGTGTGTTGGAGGTCAGAGAACAGTTTTGGGGGGTCAGTTCCCTCCTTCCATCTTGTTAAGGCAGGGCTCTTGTTGTTTCTGCCTTGCTATGCACTCTTGGTTAACTGGTTCCCCAGCTTCCAGGTGATTCTCCTGTCTCTTCCTTGAGCCCCATCCTAGGGGTGCTAAGATTGCAGGCTTGTGCCACAGCATCCAGCTTTTTTCTGAGGATGGAACTCAGGTAAACCAGGCTTTCCCAGCAAGCACTTTTTTCCTGGACCTTCCTACCTATCGCATTTTGTGAAATACCTGAAGAAACCAGCCACCCTCCAGTTTATTATGGAAGTTGATTTTTTTCTTTTTGAAGTGTTTCTTGCCCCCCTTTTCCTTTTTTATTTATTTTAATTAAAAAAATTTAATTGTGTGTATATACATGTGAGTGCAGGTACCCAAGGAGGGCTTTTAAAAGCACTTCAGTCCCCTGGACCTGGAATTATGTGTGGTTATGGACCCCTCAACATGGGTGCTGGGAACTGAACTCCTACAGTATTGGTAAACATGCTGTTAACCTCTGAGGCATCTCTGCACCTACCCACCCCAGATGTATTGCATTTTAAGTTTGTATTTGTTTTGCATATGGGTGTGTGTATATATGTGGGTGCCCAAGAGATACTGTATCCTATGAAGAAATTTAAGAAGAAAGGTGCTGGGTAAATATAGTAGTGCATGTCTGTAATCTCAGGAGACTGAGGCCAGATTGCCACTCGTTTGAGACCACTGCAGAACAGTGTGTATAATTAAACAAGGAAAGAAAGTAGATTTTTTACTTTTAGACAGTGTTAAGCTGTTGCTGGGATAGAACACTCTGAACAAAAAGCATTTAGAAGCATTTAGGTGAGGAAAGGTTATATATACACATATGTAGTATGTGCACATAGTATACATTATATAGCTTACACTTCCAGGCTGCAATCCACTGTTGAGGGAAGACAGGATAGGAACTCAAAGGCACAAGCCATGGAGGGGCACTGCTTGCTTGGTGATTCACTCCTACACTTATGCTTAACTAGTTTCCTCCTCCGATGATTTTACATTTATTTCTGTGTCTGTTGTGTGTGTGCGCTGGTGTCTGTGGAAGCCAGAAGAGGATGTGGGTTTCCATGGAGTTACAGATGGTTGTGAATCACCCTGTATGGGTGCTAAGAACCAAACTTGGGTCCTCTAGAAGAACAGCTATTGCTTTTGTACAATACAGGATCTTACTATGTAGTTCTGGCTGGTCTGGGACTTGTACCAGGCTGGCCTTGGATTCACAGAGATCCACCTGCCTCTGCAACCCAAGGGCTAAGATTACAGGAGTGTGGCACCACACCCAGCCCAACTAGTAATTGTTAGGCCATTTCTTTGGGCTCTTAATTTCCTTCGTTACAGCTCAGGACCGCCTGCCT